CGCCGCCTTCGTGCTCCCCGGGCGGGCTCCGCCACCGGGGCCTGTCCCGCTGGGGAGGGCTGGCGTTCGCCCGCCCCCGTGGCGGGGTCAGGCGGCCGGCGCTGTCGGGTGCCGAGCTCCCCGGAGCCGTGCCGGGCCCGGCCTGTGGTTTCTGCGGGAACAATAGAGCTAGGCCGCGGGGGGTCTCGCCGGGAAAGGGCTCCTCCGCGCAGCGCCGCGGGAGTGGGGACCCGCAGGCCTTCCCCGAGACGCGCGTTTCTCGAGGCCTTTGTGGGAGCCTGCTCTCCTGGGAGGTTTGAAGAGGCCCGACGTGGTACCTGCCGGGGAGGACAGCGTATTGTCTGTGACATGTGGCGGTGCTGCCGTAGCTTCCTCTCAAAGTCTGAAGAGGCTTTGGGGCAGCTGGTGGCCGAAAGTGGTCCGAGCGCTGGTGTTTGGGGAAGCGCTGGGTTGGGGTGGTGAAATGCTGCTCTGGGTGGTCGGTGGATATCGCTTTTATGATGAGCAGGCTGCCCTGGGAGCAATTAACGTGACAAAACAGGCGGCTGAACAGACTGGCAGTTATTGCGAAAGTAGCTCGCAGCGTGTGTAAAGCCTGAGTCAGTTCTAAGAAGTATTAGAGTGGATGTTGGAAGTGCTTTTGGCTGTGAGTGTATAATAAGGTAAATTAAATGATAGATACGTTATTAGTCTCTAGGTGTATATATAGACTAATAAATATGGAAATACCTAATCATTGTACTTAACACAACTGCACTGTCTTCCCTGTAAATAGAGGGACTGTTTTAGTAGTAAAACAGCTGTAAAAAGGCTGTCTTAATCTGAAGTATGATAGGTAACCACAGCACTGAAATGAGTCTGTCTTAGTAACTCCAAACCCTTTGAGTCAAAGCTGGAATTCTCAGTATTATCTCCCTGAAAACTGAAAATACTTGCTGATAAGCAGAGCTGTTGTGATATGTGTGTATGAGGGGTTTTGTATGTAAACTGAGAATACATGACAGAACAAAGTCCTCCCAACTGTAAGCAAGCTGTTCTTTGACAATTGCCAATATGGAAGCTTTAAAGCTTCCAGTACTTGCTGCTGGCCAGCCAGCTCTGGCCTGTGCCTAGCACTCTGTGTATCCATGTGGGAATTGAGGCTGGGGGAAGTGGAAGAGCTCTCTTTTTAGGGGAGTTGTGCGTTACCAGCTATGCCCCAGTGTTTGGCTGGCTATGACTTACATGCTTACTTGCAGCTGTACCATGTTCACGGGCTGCAGTGGTACTAGTAGTGTATGATAGAAGTTGCAGCCTTGCTATGCTTCCAGTAGAGCCAGGCTGCTGGAGTCAATGTACCCTGTTCTCTCAGGAGCTGTATTTGAGGTTAAAGTGGGTGGAGTAATTTGAATATTCCTTGTTAAATAATCGGGACTTCGTTGCTGTACTTATTCAGGAAGAACAAGTATACTTGTCTCTTTTTTTCCCCCCATCCCTCTTGTGACTTCCAACAGCTGACTGAACACATGACTTGCCCTCCATGAACTAATGGGTAGACCCACTATGCCTGGCCTGAGTCCTCAGAATCCAAAGCAGCTCTAATACTGTTACTTTCAAGTACTGCCCCCTTTTTTTTTGTGCTATTATGTTAATACTCTACTTCTGGTGTAGAAAAGCTGTAAGATGGGGTTAATCTGATCCCTCAGTAAGGAAAACTTTTAAAATCCAATAGCAGTTTCTTGCTCTCCTAACCTGCAGTGAGAAGTATAACTGATAAGATGCAAGGCAGTAGCTACATTAAACTTTCTTCTTCCCTGTGGTGTCATGCAGTGGTCCATGTCCTCAAATACCCTACTAATAGTTCAGTGTGGCACACTGAGTTGTACCTTAAAAGGCAAAAGTGCCAAGTTAAGAATTTAACTGTGTTGCAGAGGCTACATTACAGGCACCCCTGCCCTCCTACCAAAGCCAGTGAATCAAACTCTACACTGAGTAGCACAGACATATTACAACATTGATGAATCCTTAACTGAAAGTGGAAAATGTACAAGCTCTGCCATAGGCTCTCCTCTGAAATCATCTGGGGAAGATACCACTTTGCTTGGTTTACTACCCAAAATGAATGCCTGTGGGCAAGAGGGCTACTGGATTCAATTTCTGCAGCACCTTCTTGAAGCTCCTGTTTTAAGACCTTGTGTTGGAAGGTTATGTGAATTACCTGTTGGACCAAATCTCTGGCAAAGCTTGTCCTTGAGGAAACATGACAATTACAATCAAACCATCTGTGCAAAACTATAAATAGCTTTGTCTCTAACATGTATGGGATTTTGGTCTGACTTCTCTGTGAAAATGAGACTAGTTTATGCAGAACTTAACATTTGGCTGTAAACAAAATTGCTTGTGCTTGATTAGGGTGCATTTTTAAATGCTGCATCGTGAGATAGGTGTCTGGCAAGCCCTGGTTTGGGAATAAGTGCTGTGGAATAGGGTGCTTAGCTGTTTGCATTCTCTAGAACTGGTGGATGTGTGGGCTTACAGATACTTACTGATAGTTGTCCCTGCTGTTATAATATAGCAATTTCTTCAGTAACTGAAGTAAATTACCATTTGATAAACAAGTACAGAACCCTCACCTTGCATGCTGCCAGTGTTCCCTAACGTCTTCTGGGCTTCTCCTTGGCTGTGACCTGAACTGCTCTTAAGCCCTTGTTACTAGGGCCTGACGGACCTAAGATTCCCTTGCAGAACTGTAGAGTAATTTAAAGCTTGTTGCCTTGATGGATAAGACCTTACCAGATAAGACCTTACCTAAATGCTGAACTTGGCTGGGCACTAGCATGCTTGCATGCTGCTTGTCTGACAGCAATCCTGCATCCTTCGGAGGCTGAAGTACTTCATCCTTGCACAGCATTGTTTTGATAATTGCAGTTTAATTGCCTGATGAGTTGGAGTTCAGTTCGCTTCCCCCTGCAGCTTCCTAAAATGATCTCTTGTAGTTGCTGTATAACAGTCTGCCTTCAGACATAGTTAAGTTGTGACAGTAGATTGTGAGGATAAAAGGGTCACTTTCTGCAGTGACAATCCAAACATGAGCTGTGCCTATCAAAACTGAATTAGGTATGGATAATTAATTGAATGACAATAGTTAATATACCATTTTCAGTTCTACAGTTAGCTGCTCTATTGAAGATCGTATTTCCCTTTCAGTGCGCCTTGAATAAAACTTCCAAATGAGTGCCCAAGGTCAGTGACTCCACATGTGCTGTTCAGAAATAGCAGACAGTGAAGGGATACCCCTCTATCACATGGTTGCTCTCTGGCTTCCAGCGTGCTTGTTGCTTTTGTGCTCTGTTCGCGGGGATGCAGCGCTCAAACCCGGTGTGCTGCTGCATTTTCTGCTCGGTGGAGATCTGCCGTGGTGATGTCATTGTTGCTGTTAGCGCTGTTCCTGTGAGACTGCTCCTCCTCTCTAGTGCCAGCAATGAGCGCTCCGTCCATGGGGGAAGCTGTGTCAACACTGCTGTTGCTAACTCACGGTCAGTGACTGGGAGGGAAGCAAACTTGTCAAGGCCACTGGAGTGTGTTGATTTACAGCTGATTTCAAATAGCCTTGACTTCTCTTGCTAGGGAACCTGTTCTTGAGGCCATGGCTGTTTTCACAGGGCAGTGAAACTTCAGGAGGGAGTGCACTGCCTTTGAGATGGGATTGAAGTGTAAGCTTGTGGCACAGATTCCTATTTATGTAATTTAAAGGCACTTGATGTAGTGAGTGATTTGCTCTTGCCTCTCCATAACTACTTGAAATGCCAACTTAAGGTGACTAATTGTATCTAATGGTACTTGCATGAGTTTCAAGCAGAAATGCCTAAATGAAATTGAGTAGATCTTTATATTGTCAATTAAGAAAACAGTATTTTTTCTGGAGTCTGTCTTGTATCACTGCATACTGTAATTTTGGTCACTTCGCAGACAAACTAGACTAGTGAAGTGGTGGACAGAAGTGAAGGCAGGCAGCTGGAGCTGCCTTCAGATGCTACCTGGCATCTTGGTTGCTGGGGCTACCAGTTTATCTAATGAGTCTGTCCTGAACCCTTGATCTCTCTCCAGCTGGGAAGCAGCATCCTCTTGAAAGTAACCTGCTTGGTGCTTGTCTCCCTCAAGAGGGCTGAGTCACTTGGCTCTGTAGCTCGCTCTTCCTCTCCACTCCCAGACACAGATAATGATATCTGAAGTCCAAACTGGCACAGTGGTAACAGTGTCTCAAGCATGAGCAGTGAGATGGCTGTAACTGAGGCATGCCTAGGCTTGATTTCTGCCCCCGCCCCCCCCCAAGAATATGCAGTTTACCAGCACCATGCTCTTAATTTCACCATGCATGTCACTTCAGTGAGGCTTTTTTGGTCCTTTGTGGAGCTTCGTCAAGAGGATAGCTGAGCTGGTGAAGTATTGATGCAGGATCTTTGTAAGAGGTATGAGGGTATGAAATGTCAGTCTGAAACAGAGTCTCCACAGTAGGAATCCCTTGTTAGGGACCGACTCAGCTGTCATGGCAAGCGACCTATTACACTCCCATCCTGGGACTGGTACTGAAATACTTGTCCTTCCTGCTCTGCAGACTGCATTAGCATAGTAAGAGGTACTGAGTGTGTGGGATCTGGAGTTCTGCTTGCAGATCAAGGTTTAGTTCTTAGATTGCAACCTGTCCCTAGAGGAAGCCTCCTCTCTAGAACACTCATTACTGAGAACAGGACCTCCTGGAATAGATGTACAGGAGTAAGGTTTTTGCCATTAGTGTTGGTCTTGTACTTCTCCACATCTACGTGTCTGGTGGTAGGATCTCCCATTGGTATTTGTCCTATCTCTTCTATTGAGCTCCTGTTGCTGAAGGAGAGACAATATTCAGTCTTGCATCT